CCCTTGATCTGCTTTCTTTTATACAAAACACACACATGTGGGAGGTTAATTGATTCAGCACAGCTTGTCCAACCCAGCAATGAGCAGGGGGAAAAAAACTATCTTATTTTTTTACCAGATCATGAATGAAAGGCTATGTTTCACACTGTCTCCCATGGGGCAAGGTGATGAACTAATCATGTTTTGATCTACTAGGTCACAGCAAATAATTAAAACAAATGTTACAGTCATCTGTGTGGTGTGATCCTGTAACAAGTCAGAATGGATTTTCCATAAATTCAAGAAAAGATCTTTAAAGCCCTAATTTAAAATCCACACCTTAGCTAATTAAGAACAGTATGGCTAAATTAATGCATCATTTCACATCTAAGGTGTTGATAATGTACAATCTTAAGTACAGGAGGAGAGAAAATTTTAATTTTTTCTTCTGTACTTAGCTCTTCCAAAATCTAAAGTGTCTGCTAAAAAAGACACACACTCTACAGGTTTTGTGATCACCACGACAAAGGAAAGCATGTTTGCTTACACTGGGTACTGATCATCTGACATCTTCCCATCAAAAAACAAGTATCAGGTACCATAAAAAAAGTTTCTTAGCCAAAGTGGCGCTAACATTAGAAGAGCTGGACAAAGATGCTGAGAAAATTATATCAGGAATTATAAATATATGGCTTACATGTGGATCTACCTACAAGCAATATATTATCTTACCATATTTTCAATATCCAAAGTGTGATCTCAGTACTTTATGTACATTCTTATGAGGCAGGCATGATTAGCCCTATTTAATAAACAGAAATTCTGATGTACAAAGAAACAAGAAGGTTCTACAATGTAATTTTTTCAACCCTCACCAAAGGACATTTTTTTTTTCACTGCTTTTGGAGAGAGAGGAAGAGAAGGAGGAAGGGAAAGAAAGAAATATCGATTGCTTGTCTCTCATATGAACCCAGACCAGGGATCAGAAGCACATGGACTGGGGATCGAACCCTCAACATAGGCATGTGCCCTGACCTAAGAATCAAACCACAACTCTTTGGTTACAGGATGATGCTCCAACCAACTGAGCCACACCAGCTGGAAGGTTCTACAATTTAAAAGTGACTTGAGTGTCTAGTTTTTGTTAGTTTTTTAATGTGGTAAAAAAAAAAGTGTAGGCCAAACATATTTCTAAAATCGTTCTGGACAATTCTGAAAATGTCTGATTCTCAGATTTTCATCCTAGTTTTTATTTCAAATATTACAAAAACCTCTTCATACAATGCATATTCTTAAATTATTTCTACAGCTCATATTATTTGCAACTTAGTTGATAAACTATTTTACAGCTACATTTTCATTAATCCTTTCAGTGTGTTCAAGAAAAGAGTTTTGAAGCAGCTTTAATTTACTTATATTTGCATAAGTGATTAGGAAAAGATGTATAATAATAGGGGATAAAGTAGGTTTGCTCTAAAATGTTACTTTTTTCTAATTATTATCCTAATGCACAACTTAACAAAAATCTAAATACATAACTTTAATTCAATTGCAGCTAAAACCAAAGAATAGCTATTCAAAAATTTTAAATGAAATTAAGAATTACTATACAATAATGACATAGTAATCATCCTCAGCTAAATATCATATTCATTATCAATAAATTATTTTTAAACATATGTATATATTTCTAAACAACATAAAGCAGATAATTATATCAAGTCAATCAAAAAAATGTGGCAAAATTAATTCAACTGAAAATAACATATGACAATTATGATTGATGATTTAATAACATCTAACCAAGAATTATAAAATAGTTTTATATTTTTTATAAAACCATACAAATTTCAAAAGCTCAATATTTATTTCAGTAACCTGATTCCAATTTTGCAGAAACCAAGCAACAACAAACATTTTTAATTATTGCATGATTAAAACTATTTTTTCAATCCTTTTTGGTTGTATGAAAAAAACTTTGAAATAAATAATTTGGGAATTTTATTTCATATTTTTTCTTTTTTGTATAATAGATGGGACAAATGTTTAAATATTATGAGACTTATAAATATTACTTGTAATGTAAAATAATAATAAATACAAAAATAATTAATTTGTAATCATATAAAAGACTTGAGAAATTTGTAAAATATTAAACAACCTGAAAAGTAATACACAGTTTTGATCAGTATCTTCTATTTTACCTCCCTTTAATTTACCTCAGATAAATTATTATGTAAATTATTATTTACATAATAAACACTATACTTAATGGCAGATAAACTGTTAGTGATGTGCTCTGTTAAAACACAAATTAAAGTATTTTAAAAGTATTAGCCATTCTATGATTTTGAAGTTTTACAAAGTTAAAATATTTCCCTAAAACCCACAGGAATAATTAAAGTCCATGAAACAGCAGAAGTTTTCACCTCCTGTGAGCACTGCCACACCACACTCAAAGCCACAGCTGCTATTTTACACAAAACTGCTGTAAAAATAGACTTCTTATTTGCACATGTGACTTGTTTTGAATGGCTTCAGTACTTACTGCTTTCAATGCCCCAATCAGCACATAATCCTTAACCTCGGCATTTTACAACTGGGTAATAAACATAGTAAAAAATGGCTTTTGCAGAAAACTTAGCAATTAACCAAGAAAATGTATTTTTAACATAAATTTGCTAAACTTGATTAACACATTACCCAATAGTCAAATCACATGCCTCAGTTGAAAACATCTGTATTAAGCTGGCTTGCTAATATTGAAATATAGATTCATTAGTAAACTATTATATCACAGTGTTAAGCATGTTTAATTCATCATCACAAGCCACTTTTTATCTGGTCAATTGCGTGTGTGTAAAACTTAACTGTTACGTATCTGATAGTTGTATCATGTCAACATACACTAATTTTCATTCAAATTATATTTAGTAATATAATAAAACCAATAAAAGCTTGCCTTTCCCTGTTTTACAATGAATTCTGTCTTTCAGTGATTAATTTCTATTTCTTTAACTTTATGTTGTATCTATAAGAAAGTATTAATTTTAAAACCATTATTTAGGCTAAAAATACTAAACTACATGATTGACATTCATTTTATGACATTTTGCTTCTATATTTTCTTTATTCTTGGCTTCAAAACTGTTACATAGGATTAGTAAATTGGAATGTCACAAGATATTCACCTTCTTACTTACTCTACAGCATATGAAACTTTGAGATACAGCTCCTTCTCTTGCCACTCTATGCCTCTTATACCCATTAACTTCTTATCTGATACTGAGTATCATTTTCTTGAAATGAGAAAACCATTTTTGAAGATTATAACAATGAGTCAGAGTTGATTTGCTCTATTTTGTGTTTATATGCCATTGGAAACACAAATTTCTCATTAAGGGTCAAAATCGATAGAACCATGTAAAGATCTCATTAATAAGATTAATTAGTGTTGAATGTTAGCTATGCCAGAAAATATTTCAGTTGGTTATTAATTGAGTGAGCAAAATTCAAGAAAAAATCATTTTCTGTTTGTTATTTTATTAATATCAGATGGAAATTTTCCATAATAGTGTATAAACTACTAATGTTAACAACTTTAATGTTCATATCAAGGGTTGGAGAAATAAATGATCTAAATAGAGAAAAAAAGTTTAATATCCAAAGTGCCCATGTCCTTTTTTTTTCCCATTGGAATGAGAGAACAGAATATACTTTAACTTGGAGTTACTTCCCTGTTAGAGAGGATGATGGAGATCAACAACTAAATACAAATATGTCAGCATTTTCCCTCAAAATGCTAATCCACCAAAAATCCATCAGCAACTAGTTATCTTTAAAGTTTAGCAACTGGTACTGATTACTTGTGATGATGATAAAGCAGATTACTTCCACATATTTCACAACTATCCACTCCCAGTATAAAAAGAAAGTAAACTTTAAATTAAAAAATATATTTAATTGCCATTACTCTGTATTGTTGTCCACAAATGGACAACCTAAGCACTTTTTATGTGGAAGGTACATAGTGTACATGGATGATGATGCTTAGAATTAAGAATATTAATATTCCAAGGTGAGGCACAGGCATAACTGAAAAAGTGTTATATCAACATCAGGAAGAAGGCTGTATTCTACTGTTCAAAGTTTAATTACTGAAGCTCTTTTATTTATCAATAAAACAAGGAATGCAACAATATTTAATTTCATCAATGTTTTGTGAAGGATGTTTTTCATTATTGCTCACTAAGGGAGACAGTTATTTTGATCCATGTTAAGTCCTGAGCAATGCACATACTGACAGACTGCACTCTAAGTAAACAGAAAACATGCCACACTACATGGTGTTTCTGACTCAACACCAGGAATGCTTTCAACAGCAGACTGTTATCACCAGACTGTAACACTGAATGGCTATGCTTGACTCTGGTGGTATAGCCTGCCGTACCACCTTAGCAACAGGGGAGAAGAAACTGAGACTTTAAGTTTTCACAGGGTAAAAAGCTGTTGCTAAGTAAACATAACAACCAAAAATTTAGAAAACTGTAGTTTAGTTTTTTTTTATAAACTAGTTCAACTACTTCACAAGTTTAATGGTTTATTTACCCAATTCAATACACATATGCAAAGCAGATAAAAGGCAAAAACAAATCTCTGTGATAAACTTGTAGCAAACCTACTCCCACTTCCCACAAAGAAGCAGTTACCTTTTACCCAGCTCAAGACAAAAATCAACCTAAGGACCAATTGTGAAAGATTATCTTTTCTTCTTGATCTCTTACCCTCCTTTTCTAGTTTTTTTTTATTTTTTTTACATTTCATGCTGTCATTGACTGTGATCTTCAAACAACTACTTGCTTAAACCCCAAAGTCTCTAGAGTCGTGTAGTGTCAGCTCTGTAAAGACTTGGGAGCAAAACCAAGCCTATCCCCCACCTGCTTCCCATGTCCCCACTGTGTCCCCACTCGGGTAGAGTGCCTCACCAGTTTTCCTGTGGTCTTTCTCTGGGTGGTACTTACCTGCTGCTCCCCAGGCTCCGTAGATTTCACCAGATGCTTATCCTTGTACAGAGACCAGAGGCCAATGTTGGGCAGGAATATCAAAGCCACCATGAATAACAAAGTCATCTGCAGAAATCTCTTCTGTTTCCTCTTCATTGCAAATTGTAACAGGTATGAAAAGTTAAAGGAGATGGTTCCCTGGCTGCTTCTTGCGTTTAATGGCAAAGTCCTTGCCTCTCCCTGCGAAGCACCAGAGACTGAGGAGAAGCTAAAAACTTTTGTTGCGTGCTCAGCACCAATCTGCAGGATTCAGAGGGAGTTGAGCATCTGCAGAACAAACACACAGTTACTTTCCCCCCAGAAAACTATGACGAAGGCAGTATCTATTGGCTTAGAAGTAAATGACTTGACTGAGGTAATCACTAAGCCTGTTGACCTCCATTAATATAAAGCAGATGGAGTAAGTATCATTGTTTCATAAACTAACCATAAGTTATAAAAAGTCAATGGCGTGCTAGATACTTAGGGAAACGGGAGTTTGGGTATCCCCCCTCCCCCAGTGCAGAGGGCTGGGTTGGGGAGAAGCGGGGTAAGTAGCTAGGACTGCGTGGGAGGAAACCGCTCAGCCCCAGCAAGTGTAAGGCAGGAAAGTGCCTGCTTTTGACATTGGAGCATCACCTTCCTTGTCTTCCCTAAACATCTCGTGCTACGTTCCTCTTGGGATAACCCACCTGAACTCAAGTTCAACTCCCTCCGAAGCCAGCGTTCAGGTGGGCTCAATGGGGAGGATGCAGGGACAGGGGATCCCGGGAGAACTCCTCTTTGGATAGAGGTCCACAAACTCCTGGCTGCTCACGCGCTGTCCACACTCCTCCGCAGGCAGGGACTGGGCGGCCTGGGAACCTGGGGGAACGTTGGCTACAGATGTCAGCGGAGTCCGGCCAAGAGGTGGGAGCGAGGATGTTTCCCCTGTGCCGCCCTCGGAAAGTGATCCTCCTTGAAGTAACCACTCTGCCCATCAATCTCTTCCCTTCCTCTGGGGACGCTCTCACGCTCCGCTGTTCATGTTACCATTATTTTCCGGCAACTGAATGAACCCGGGGAAACGTCAGGAACACCTAAAGGGCACTGTCTTCAATCTCCCCTCGGGGGAAGGAGTCGGAGGCGGCGAAACCGAGTCTCCGCTGGGACTGTAGTGAGTGAGGGCGTTGGGGAGGGTGCTGGGAAGGGCGAGCAGACGGTAAAGATGCGCCAGGCTCGCCCCCAGCTGCTGCTCCTTGCTGGCTCGTGGTCTCCTGCCTTCTGAGGAGACTGGGAGACTGTACTGAGGTGGACCACGTGTGGGGAGCCCGAACCTGGGAAGGGAGGGCAGCTGCCTGGAGGGGGTGCGCAGTTCCTCCCAGCTTCCAGATCCTATATAAACAAACCCAGGGCGAGGGGAAAGAAGAGGCAAAGACACCGCTGGAGACGGACTTGGAGCTTTCAGCCTACGCAGATATTCTCTTTTTCTACCAGGCCTTTTCGGGGCAACTTCGGACTGGCAGAGATACCAGCTTCCCCACTCATCTCACCCAAAAGGCGCCCGGCCAGATTCCGGAGGAAAAGTCGCCAGCTGCTCTCGGGTTTGCTCCGGATTCCTCCGTGCCCGCGGGAGCGCAGGGAGCTGGGGCGCGGCGGTGGGAGGCGGAGGCGAACGGAGGTTGGGCAGGTCCCACGGAGGGGGGTTCCCGTGCCTCGCTGCTCAGGCCAGGTACGTGGTGAGAAAGGGGCAGAAAGAACCCCGAATCGAGGCAAGGTTGAGGCTCAGGGTTCTCAGGCAGAAGCTTCTGAAGCGGCACCGTGGAGACCCAGGGCGGCTGTACTGGGGTCTGTAAACACCCAGGGCCCCAGTTACGATTTGCCAGTGCCACCCCCTCCTCCGCTGCTCTGCTCCTCAGCACCTCCCACTCCTTGTGAAAGGGCTACCTGTCCCCCTGACCTCACACACTCCTCCTACGATACCCGGAAAATGTAGGGATCAAGGTAAGCCTGGCAGAAGGGACTCATCCTTCTCCCCAACATAAAGATACACCAACACCCCTGACCGCACACGCACGAACCTGTGGCAGCCTCTCCAAGAGACTTGCGCGCCTAGCACGGTGCACTGGGTCCTCTTGGGATCGGAGCTCATAACTCCTGAAGGAATGGGGACTTTGATGAGACGACAGACATGCATGCAGTGCCCGCTGTGTCAGCCTGTCTAGAACTAAAAAGAAACAACATGGTCATCTCTTTGTCACAACCTAGATGTGATGCTCAGGAGCTTGTGATAGATAAGACTGTGAGATCCAGAATGAACGGTATTTTCTCTCTTCGTTCCTCCCTCTCTTCTTCATGTGTCTCCCTCCCTCCATATCTGCTCCCCCTCCCTCTACCTCCCACTTCTACTCTCTCCCTGTTTCACTTGAGAATGACAGAGATTTGAGTGTGTTATGCCTTCAACTCCTCACGTTGTAATGTTTAAATGTATTATATTTGAATAATATATATGGACAGTGTAACTGCATGAATAAAGCTTTGTGCAGAAACATTTGTTATTGTGAATCACTTTTGTTTCAGAAGAGTACATAAACATATTTAATAAATATTTTTTAATGTGTCCTTTAGGTAAAGACCAATTACCTTTCAATTTTACAAGTGCAAACTTCAGAGTCTAGAGAGCGCCACCACCACAACACACACACATGCAAACACACACAGCCTTTTGTACTCTGTGTTATTTTCCCATCTCCTTTTTCTCTCTTAGCAAGTGCAGCTCTGAGACAGGAATATGCATCCTGGGAAGCAACACAAGTGGGAGAGGTCTGCTGTCAAGGCTGTCTGGTTCTCAATCAAAGGTTTTTGGGGAATTGTTTAAATATATTGGATATGTTCTCTCTTACAGATAATGATTAACAATTAAAAAGCAAAAGAACTCAAAAGTGTTCTTGGAATTAAAAAGTTAAAAATCCCTCACATTTTAAATAATATCAGTTTCTTTAAATCTTAAAAAAAAAGTCTTGGTTTAAAAAAAAAGACATATTATCATTCTTGCTAAACCCAGATTCTGCCCTGAATTGTGCTTCATTACTGTTACAGAAGTAAATGGTCGTACATACAGTTCTCACACCCAGAACATTACGTTACAGGGAATGGATATAATAATGATTGTTTCTCGCATCAAGTACATGCAAAATACATGGTCAAAACTGGAAGGAGGAAAGTATGTTCACCTCTGCTTTTACAGTGTAATCAGTTTTTTTGTGTGTTAAATTTATCTATTTGTTTCTTTGAGATCATAATTTTCCTTCAATCTGGTCTTCTACAGTTCCACATGTAAACCTTCAACAGATGACAATACTTCTAATTAAAACTTATATTTTAGGTTAAGTTTACAAACAACAACAATAAAAAAACCCCTCAATGACAGTTAATTCCATTGTTCGGAAATCCCAGATTGAATGCACACATGCACAACACAGTCTCTCTTTCTTTAAAATGGTTTGCTCAAAATCCTATTTTGAAAATTCATCTTATATCCAGAGATGCCCTTTTACCCCCATTTGCTCCTCCATTTTGTTATGATTCAAAGGGAAACCTCAGGTAATGAATCCCATGTGCCTAGCAATGTGTTAAGATCTCTACAGGGACACATGGAAAGAAAATAGAATGGTATCTGTGACCTTGAATAACTTACAACCCAGTTGAAAATCCAACATAAAGACAATCAGAATGAAGTGTACAAGTTTAGCTGTTTGTAGGAACCTTTAACTGAGCCATGCTTAAGCCCTACCTTGAAAGAAGCAGAAAAATATCACTTTAGTTATGGTTTTACTACAAAATTTCACAACTTTAAATAACTATTTGACTCTCTGTCGTGGTTCTGTGCATTTGAATAGGATCTGCAGTGGTGGGGTCCTGCTTCATGTGATATAGGTTGGGGCCTGTGGGGTGATCTGGCTGGGCCAAGATGATTCCCTCCCGGACAGTAGTTGGCACTGAGTATCAGCCATTAAGTTCATAAGAGGCAGCTGGTTGCAGCTCCTCAGGTCTCTTTGACAATGTGGCATGGCCACAACCCCTCCCATGGCCTGAGCTTCTCACAACATGGTAGTTAACACCCAAAAGGGAACTTCCCAAGAATCTAAAACTGCCATGTCCTTTTAAAGGCCTGTTACTGGTACAGCCTCACTTCAGCAATTGTCACAGGACTAGCCCTAATTCAAGGGTAGAGGACAGGGATAAAGCTGACATCTCAGTGAGAGACTTGAGAATGAATGTGTGGCCATTTTTAATCCACTATGGATATTCAAAGGCACAACAGTAGGAGTTCACAATGAAAGCTTAACCAGATTAAACAGTGGATGATGGGAAGAATAGGGGGAGAGGTTTTCACAGATTATTCAATTACTACAAAGATAGTAAACCAAATTTGTTTTAGTTTAAAAATAGGCTTATCACCTCATTTTCAGGTTATAAGATAAATTAGTACTAGGGATGAAATGTACAATATGATGGCTATAGTTAACCCTGCTGTGTAATATACAGGAAAAGTCATTAAGAGCATACATCCCAAGAGTTCTCATCATGAGGATAATTTTTTCTTCCCTTTTTATTGTATGTATATGGGATGATGGGTATTAACTAAACCTGCTGTGGTAATCATTTTACAATATATATAAATTAAACTACTGTGCTGTATACATGTGTCCAGAAATGAAGATATATTTCATTCTTCTTTTATCCAATAATAAAGTCTAGAATATGAAAGTTTCCACTGAATAAACTACTAGACTTTTAATGTCCGTCTCTACAAAATAGGAAAAAAAGAGTCAACTTAAATATTAAAATGTAATATTATCCAGTCTCTATCATTGCTGAAATTCTTCACCAAAAAGCCCTGAGTGTGTGTGTGTGTGTGTGCATGTACGTGCGTGTGTGTGTGTGCAAGTGCTGTTGGGCAGAGAATGCAAAGACAAAGAATTCCTACAGAATCATCAGCACCGTGAGGAGTTAAAACATGTGCACAATTAAATGTGCTGTGAATTTAAAAAGTGAAGAAGGTTATTTCTTCTTGAACTAAATATTTTCTAACTAGACAAGATCTTTACTTTATGGTGTTTAAACTCTTAGTAATTAAATTTACCTCTAAATGTTTTTTATTTCTCTACTAATAGAATACACCATGATTCAAATGCATTTTCTTTCCCTGTATATTTAGTTATAAAATATTTATTTAGTACTTACTATATGCCTGGCATTTTCATGACTATTTCTTAAGTATTATCATTTAAGTCTAAAC